TGCACTCCCAGGCAGTTTTTCCTGCCAGACCTCTAGAAAGGATGTTTTTTCACCAAAGCGGGGACTCCAGACTCATTATAAATTAAAACTACATTCCTAGCAACCTTACAGAACCAATCCAGGATGCAGATGCCTGTGCGTGTGGGCATCTGGGGGGCACCTGCGTCCTGTTGTGTGGGTTGTGTGCTTCTTGTAAGTTTCAACATCTCTCCTGTTTGCAGGATTCTCTTAGCCTAGCTCTCTGAGCATGTCCAGTCTCTTGACCAGGAAGGCACCAAACTCAGTTTAGGGAATGTGCTGTGTGCACATATCAAAAACCTCAGATTTTTGGTCCCTTTTGCGGGAGTGGGTCCTGCTGGTGTAGAGAGCCTGCCTTTAAAGATTCCATTTAAATAATAAAAAGCTTCATTACTACCAGAGAAATAGAAATTAGTCTGAAAAACATATCATAGTGTAAAAGATTTGGAGAACATGGTTATAAAAAACTAGAAGGGAACATCAAAGGCTCAGTTGACTTGAGGAACAAAGTGTTGTGCTTCTGGGAGACACTGAGGGCAATTTTTGTCAATACAAGAACTTTAATATTATTATTACTTTTGTAGTTTGAAAAGTTCATGCTCTCTTCTCCCTGGGATTTGACTTTGCTAGCAAAACAAGTGAGAAGGTCAGCTTGGGTCTTCCTTGGTCTCATTGGTCCCAGGGTCCCTCCTGCTCAGCATACCCCCTACATCTATCTCCCCCTAAAGAAAACATTCTTCCCTTTCTTATGTCCAGCCAAGGAGACACCTTACTCAGTGAAACTACAAAACCTACTTAACCCTTTCCTAGTCCTTTCAGGCAAACCTGGCGAGCCTATGCCCACACCCCTCCTTTTATCAATAGGACAGATTTAAAGCAGCCACATATTTATAATATGTCAAAAATCATTTTGTAGGAGGACATCTGCAGGAATGTCAAACACTGCAGTGTTTTGAACACTCACCATACACATTTGATTGCACTAGGAATTGCTTACTAAGTCACTTGAGGGTTGGTGTATTGTTAGTGGCCATGCAATTGAATGTAAAATTAAAAATACTGCTTTTTTTAATTTCAGGAATAAAATGGCCAGGTGAGGAATTATTTGAAGCATAGGTGCTGGAACTAGGTGCATGGGCGTGCTGCGCTCCGTGGCTTGAAATAGTTTCCATTTAGGGTTTACAGTTTGGCTCAATGGCTCTCAGTACCCCTACTTTACACATTGTCTCAGCACTCCTAATTTGGAGAAGAGGTAACATTAACCCAATCAGACTATAACTACACATTTTTCTAGCTGGAGCAATGTTTACTCTAATGGCATGGCCATTGCTGCATAAAAGTCCGTTGCAAAGATCTTGGTACAGGTGTGAATGTGGAGAATGAAAGGTGTGAAAGTTTTTAGCAGTAGCATTTTATTTCAGAACAAGAAAGGCCAAAGGACTTGTATGGGTTAAAAGTAAGTTCAGGAGCAGTGTGAAATTCCTCAGTATGAAAGTCAATAGAAGTTCCAGTGGCTATGGAAATAAACAGCAACCTATAATGCAATAGTTGCTTGACACAGTATAGGCCTGCGTCACGATAGAGAATGTTGTTTTTAAAATTGTATTATTTTCTCTGTTAAAAATATCTCTCTTAATGTTAAGAATATGCCTGAATCTAGGCGTGTGGTTTTGGGGTTGGGTTTGTGTGTGTATGTGTGTGCGTGCGCAAGTACTAAGCTATCCTTGGCAATTAGCGGTTTCTTGGCAAAATATGCTTTTAGAAAATAGGAATCTGATTTTAATTATCTTTATGCACCAGAGTCTGGGTGTTGAAATATTTCAACACTTTCCCTGCTCAGCAGTTGCTATTTTGTATTTAGTGTTAGAGTGGAACATGAAATGTGGAACTGCAGCTGTGGACAGACAGAATTTGCCTGGGACTGGGCAGGCCAACAGGGAACTTGAAAGGTGCCACAGAATGTTTCAAAGCTGACCAGAAGCATGGTATATTATTTTAGTGAAATTATCTATATTTCAGCGTCAAAGAGCTGCCATACTCTGAAAAGTAGCTATGTAAATGGTAGATTTCCTCTCTGCTATACTTGAAGACTTAAGTAGCAAAAATAATGCAAGTGTTGAACTACTCTTTATCCTCTTATCACCTCATCTCTGAAGCTATGTCTCTATACAACAGTGTTATTTCAGAATAACGTCAGTTATTCCAAAATCACGTAGTGCACATCTACACAGCAAGCCCATTATTTAAAAATAAATTCGAAATAATGGGCCTCTTACTCTGACTCCTGTAACCCTCATTGTATGAGGAGTAAGGAAAGTTGAGGAAGAGTGTTCTATTTCAAAATCACTGCTGTGTGGATGCAATAACCATAGCTGAAGTTGCGTAGCTTATTTCAAGTTTAGCCCTGCTGTGCAGACGTGCCCCGAGTCAACAAGCTTAATTTTATTCCTTTTTGTGTATCAACTAGGGATGTTAAAAAGCGGGTAATTGGATAACCGTGTAACCTCTGAAAATTTCAGAGGTTACACCCACCTGCAGCCAGCAACCTGCAAGCTGGTGCACAGTGGGAGCCAGTTTTTAAGCCTGTTCCCAGGGCGTACTGGCTCCCAGCTCCTGCCCTGCTCCCGGGGTACCGGCTGCCATCCCATTCTGCAGGCTCTGATACGCTAGCAGCACAGGGTGGTAGTTGACTCCCTGGGAGCCTGCGTGTAACCATTCACAGTAACCGAGGAGCCCAGAGTTACTGGTTAACTGTGTATCCCTACTAGCTACAGTATTGTTTACTGAGTTCCAGTAGTTTAAACTATGCCAAGCCCATGGCAGACAATGGGGTTGTCAGTGACAGTATAGTTTGGTTGACAGAATCTTTGTGACTGGCGGTGTTGTGCAAGAAGGTAAATCTCCTGGCTTGATTCTTGGAACTGCAAGCTGAGTTTGCAAGCCCAGCAGTTGAGGGGCAAGGTTTTTTTTAACTTGTAAACTAAATGCATTTGATCTGGAAATCTCACATCACGCTGACTGTTCCGTAATATTTTCAGGAGAGCACCTTCTGTCCTTAACTGCTTTGGACCTAATTAAACCAAAGCCTGTTAAGGTATTTTGACTTTGGTCAGCTTTGGACCATCTCCTGTTTTATTTTCTCCCCAGATGTTTAATTAACAATTTAATACGGCAGATAATGTTTTAGGGTGTTTATGGGGGAATCTAGCTGTCACCTGTGACTATAGCGCTCTGTCTTGTGAATGCTCTTCACTCCCACTCCAGCCGCTTCATAGGCTGTTACGTAACTCAATGACTATCTAGTAACTCTTAAGTCATAATGCCCGTGATAAAGAATTGAACTATCCTGTTACATTGTCTTTAAAGTATCGTATAAGCTCTGAATTTGTTGACTTCAGTGATAAAACTGCAGGGCTGTCCTATACATTCTACAAACCCTGTGCATCCCTGCTGTCCTCCGCCCCAACAAAGGTTCTTGCTGGGGCTACGAAAGGATTTTATGTGGTTTTGTATGGTCCCTTTACAATTTCCCCAGGAAAGGTTTGTGCTGGGGAAACTCTTCATAATAGGAAAAACAATTGCTGTCATTGTTAATGTTGTTAGGTTTTAGCGGGTGAAAAATAGGTTGTTGTTGTTGTTTGTCCATCGTATTCAAAGAGGACCTTGACATCTAGAGATGTCAAGACTTGCGCATGAATTGGATTAAAGTGAGGGAGAGGTGCGCATAGTCAGCCTCACTCTCTCTTCCCAGATTCCATCTTGCTCCAATGGCAGGACTAAATAGGTAATCCCAATGTGAACTGAATTGATAGAGTCCACACCTTTTAATAGCTTTGAGTGGTACAGTTTTCTCATGGAACCAGCGTCAGGGGCACATGGTTAGTGCTAATTTAATTTTCTTCCCCTTCTTAAGAACAATAAATTCTCCGGCAGTGGAACACACATTTTCCATATGGTAATTAAAGGTATATGCAGTGCTCATTGAGTCTGAGGTCCTTTTAACAAGCAAACATGTTAAACACGGAGATTCAGCCATTCAGACTTGGCTGGTTGGCCATTTGTAACCCTGTGATCCAGTGGATAGCAGGGGAGCTGGACGATGCTGTTATAGAATTCCACAGGAGCAGTTTCACTGTTCCCATTTACAGCGAGGGAGGGACAACAATCCTGGGGCAGATTCAGTAGTTATCTGCCCCCAAACTGTTTTATGGACTCCCTCACCGTGCTCATTGAGTGCCTCATAGACATGAGCACAGCAACCCCATGAGGGGAGACGATATATGGTTATTCCTGTTTTGCAAATGAATAAACCCCATTGTTTTTAGTATAAACCAGTTGTTACTGAAAAAAATCTCAGGTCTTACAAAAAGTATTATTTGTGAGAGCAGAGGATTTATTTTCATCCTGCTTTTGAATCAGTGAGATCTATAAAAATAACTTGTTCTATTGGGAAGATAGGTATATGCATTAAAATAATACATTCATCTGTGTATATATGCAAAACCTCCTACTGAAGCAAGGCTACGTATCAATCTAGAAGAGACACACAATAAGCAAACAGGCACCTGTTCTTTGAAGTTTGATTGGACATCTCCTTTAATGAAAGGCCATTGTATATCTTGCTTTTGTAACATCCGTTTCTCCTTGAGCAGGAGCAATTTGGACGGACTTGGTAAATGCTGGGTGCTCTGACTCATTATGGAGCAAATGCTGGTGAAAGTAATATTTTGTAGCAACTGAGCTATTGAGAAACATGGCTCCCATTACAAGGAGTGTGTGAAGATTTGTGAGACTCTCCAAAGCCGTGACTCATGAGAGGGTATCCTCCTCCCTTCTAGGAAGTGTAAATCAAGTCAAACACTTTATCCTCCCATGACTGGTTATAACCCATTAGGCATTCTTAATATGTGGAAATGAAAGAGCCCTGTGTCTGCTAGAATGGCTGCTTGTAACTCTCAAATTGCCTCTGTCTTTCTCCCTAGGTCTCAGGACTTACACTTGAGAGCGGAGCCCCACTCCTATCTCTCTGACATGAGCAAACAGTCGGAAATAGAGTTCATTGAAACAAAACGACCACGGCTAGACCTGCTGCCAGACCCATTGATGCGGCACTCGCCTTTACTCAACCAAAATCAGCAGGCAGGGATGGAAGATCTCTCAAAGGTAAGGAAAAGAGTCACACGCAGTCTTTCGAAACTAAGTAGGTGCAGGCTAAGTGTTATATGCAACCGGTGGGAATTGCATTTGCTTTTCTCTCTGACTCCTGCAGGTTGCCTATGTGTCTGATTAAGATTTTGTCTCTGTTATTTTTAGTGAAAATCAAGGACAGGTCATGGACAATAAACAAAAATTGGTGGAAGCCAGTCCCCAGCTTTTACTAAAAATAACCAGTGATAGAATGGGCTGGCAGAAAGATGAGATGCCTAGCCCTGCTGTGGGAGAGGGGAGCTCCAGTACCTGCGTTGGCTGGGAGCTCTGGGCACCCACAGAGGCTGGGAACTGCAGGGGTCCCCCACTAGTTACAGCTTCGGGCCCACCACCCAAGGGTGAAACAGAAAAAGTCACACAGGTTTCTGGATGTCACAGAATCTGTGGCTCTGTGACACATTAGCCGTGTCTGTGAGGCCTGTGATTGTCTGGTTCCTTGAAGGTGCCTCACATAAGTTATGGCCTCTCTTGGCTTTGTCACTCTGCTAAATGTTGTCGGGTGCTAAACAGTGGCCCGGATTTTAGGGTTGTAAAAGCCTGATTAATTAGTCAACCAGTTAAACATTAAGTTTAATCAGTTAACCGATTAAACGGGGCAGGGTGTGGCTGGGCTGGAGTTGCCCCCTCCCCCTGCCATAGCTAGGCTGGAGCGCCCCTCCTCCCCTGCCACAGTCGGAGGCTGCTTCAGCAGGGCTAGTGCACCTGGGTCAGGCCTGCTGAAAATACAGCCTGTTCTGGGTGGGCTGGAAAACCTCTCCCTCTGTCAGACCCTGTGGGGCTGGTGGGCAGGAGATTGCTTCAGCCTCCACCTGTTAACTGTAACCGGTAAAACATTAACATCCCTACTGGATATGCTGTTCCAGAGGGTGTAGGTTTTCATTGAAGCTAATATAATGTGCATGTGTCTCAAGGCTCAGGATTCTATCATAGCCTAAGCCTCAGTTAATGTGCGATATTCTTTCTAATATAGAGCCCTCCAGCTCACTCTTCTATTAAAATCTTTAGCAATATTTCTTCACTCTTGGTACAGCTGCACTGTTATCTGAGCTGAAGTAAGTCTTCACTAGTGTGACCACCCTCTGACTGGGTGTCTGACTGACAGGAGCACCTCTTCTACACTCTAGCCTGCGATTCTCTCCCTGTCCTGTCAGCGACTTGTTCACGAGTGACTGAAGATCGTCCCTTCCATGGATGCTGTCTGCTTTGTGAAATGGCACAGTGTACGTGTGTTTTGTCGCCCACTCATCCCCGCTTAGCACCATCTTTGTAGATACTTGGCCCTTGTTCTAGCACTGCTTTTTTTAGCTGCACCTTGGTGTTCACACTTATTCATCATACGCCTTGGTTTTTACATCTTTGTCTTTGCTAGCTTTGCTCTCTCCTTCCCGACCTGTTTCTTGTGCAGAGCCAGAAATCTCCGACACTGTATATTCACCAACCAGGCAGGTGAAAGACAGCACTCCTCGAGACTTCACGTTGATTCTAGTGGAGGAAGAGATTTTCCTATCCATGAGTGGATAGAGCACTGAGCTGGGAGACCTAGGTGCTACTCCTATCTCTGCCATTCCCTCCTTGTGTGATTTTGGACAAGTCGCTTCTCTTGTCTGGCATAATATACTACCATCCTGTGTAAAGTGTTTTGAGATTTTTGGATGACCTATAAAAGAGCCGTGGGGGAGGGGGTAGTTCGGAATTAGCATATACATAGTAGAGAAAAAAAACTATCATAAACATCAAGATTTATTTTAACTAGCTGCATTGTGGTAAAGCTACTGTTTGCCTGACCTCCATTAGGATTTTACAAGAATGCAGTTAATTTGATTTAGCCATCTCCTTATAAAAAAACCGCATACACTCAGTTTTTACTAGTGGGGAGCCAGCCTCACTGTTTGCAGAGGGCACCCTGAGAGAGAATGGAAATGCATGTTGCTGTTGAGGGGTAAATGCTGACTCTATCATGCCTCCCACAGTGTTTCCCGAGAACAAATGGAGATGAGCTGTAGAGTCAGTTCTCTGCTATGATGAGTTTAGCCCATTCAGTAGTTTTCAGGAACACACTGACCAAAAACCATTTTGGATTGCATGTTGGCAGTTGTTTCACCTATCCAGGGAAGGAAGCAGCATCTTGCCCAAGTCTTCTTAAGGCCCTTTCTTCAGGGCATAGTATATTGTGAATAAAAAATCAGGCAACTCAACCAACCAGACTCTCGCCATAGGCATTTCCCTTGCTGCCCTGGCGAGAGTAAAAGAGAAGACCCATCCTTCTGCTCCCTGCTTCTCTTTGCCTTATCTATTCCTTCCTGTTGCCCATGTGATAGGTGGGGATCCCTCATCCTCTCCAGGCTGCTCATGTCACTTCCCACTGGTTTATTGTTCACTCTGACAGGAAGAAACTTTCCTGCAGTTTGCATCATATTCTCTGGCTGCTGCTGCAATGTGTTATTACCAGGGCCAGATTGACTTTTCAGTAGGGATGTAAAATCTAGTATAAATGGTTACCCAGTTAAAAATTATGTTTAGCTGGTTAGCAGATTCATGGAGAGTTGAAGGGGTGGAGGGGCTAGGATGGCACCCTCCTGCCATGGACAAGGGCTGGGCACGTTAGCTGGATGGAGCAGTCGCC